ATAGTCATTTAAGGCTGCTTCTGCTCGAATGCATTCTGAGCGAATTCTTAATAGAGCCCAGCGCTCTATCATCAACATCGAGATCACCTCATAACCCCTTTCTATATTTTGGTTTGTAAGTTGGGCGGAATGACGCGATGTCCAAGGGGAAAATGGCTCCAGTTTACCCACCAGTCTACCAATTATGTACAAGATGTGTGTCGGATTACGGCCTTAAGACACCTCTTGGAGACAACTATTGCTTATATTCATCTGGGCAATAATTCCAAGATTCATTCAAGTCGAGAGGGAGATTTTTTGCTCATGGGAGTCTGGACAACCCGCAGGGCAAAATCTCGTATCTCGAACACAAACAAAATATAAGAGTTGTATTCACCCAATTTCGTTTAAGGTGACCAAGGACTGGCAGTTTTGATCTTTCCCACAATGATGTGAGTAGAATTGGTTTTCGCATAGCCTTGCTTTCCCAAATAGTATTCTCATCCAGGCACCAGTGGACTGCAGTCTCGACCTCGCCTCGGCCTTATCCGAACCCCAAGCGGGAGTCAAACCATGCAAGTGCAGAGTCTAAGCTCGACTAGGCAAAGTTGTATTTGTTATTGCAATCGACTACAGCATTATTTATTTTTCGTTTACAAGTAGGTTGTCAAGGCTACCAGTCCAGTTTAGATAAAAACAGCCCACGCTGAGTGAAAATACCTTCTTGAGAGCGAGGCCGTGTGAAATTGATTAAGAATATGGGGTTTACTTGTATGATTGTAAAAAAAAATAAATAAATAAATATATATATATATGAAAATTAATATCCTGAGCTCTCTCTAAAGCCTGTTTTTCCGTCTCCGATCTGACCCAACTTGAATGGAGCTTGATTTACTATGTCCTCCTTCAGGTCTAAGCTGCAGTCCAACCGGGATGAGAAAATCTCCCATGAGACCAGGCTGAGTGAAATTTTAATATTATTTAGAAAAATTTAACATCACCTTTGGCAACCTATAATAACTGATGCTCTAGAGATAACCAAAAAACATCTGCATCATTTACATGTGTTTAGGGCCAAAGTGTTTTCGCTTTATCATGCGAAGGCATTTTTGGTCGGGCGGTACAGTTTTACTAGCCTTCTGAGCACATTTCACGCCTGAACATTCGGCAGGCTTTCAGCTTACCATGAAAACGGGTAAAGTTTCGAGCGCTCATGTATTGCTGTGCTGGAAATCGCCCTGTCACAGCACTATGTTTCATCTGCTCGAATGGAATATTTTGTTTCTCGTAAGTGATTAGGCGCTCGAGACTACCAGCAAATCAGATGTATGAGTTGTATTCACATCTGTCCTGTGACCCGAGGGCATTCGTGGCCGTGTGGCGTAATGATTAAGGTGTCGAGACTCTGTGCTTCCCTGCCACTAGCCGGACTCGAGTCCCGTTGGGGGCGCTGAAGATACTGAGGTGAAGTCGAATCTAAAGTCTAACCCAGATATCGCTTTGAGAAGTAAGATTATGGGAAATCCAAAGGAAGCATGGGGTCTGATGAGTAAATCTCATTTATATGACCGACTAATAGTCTCGAAAGCTAGCAATACAAGAAAATATTATTTCTCACTGTGATGGCATAGCGACAAGGGGAAATTATGGTGCCATATGTGAGAAATACACCATTAATTATAGTAAAAAGATGAAGATGGACGGTAGTGCGGAGAAGAGAACTGCAATTGGATGATTTCAGATTTTGCAGAAAGTAGAGTGTCAAAGGAGGGCGGAGGTTCAGGCGAATGTATAGAATGAAAAGTTGAGGCAATTGCTGGAAATAATTGGATTTACAATTGAGTGGCACATCCGATGAGAGGCGCTTCAACAGTGAAATGGCAGAGTAAACAAATAGTGAGGCGGGTGATCGGTTGTATGGAGGGCTGACTGGCCGTTCGAATGGTGTGGCTGGTGGGTTAGCAGATGATTTTGCAGTCCATGTTTTGAAGAATTGTTGGGCAGACTGTTTGACGGATGGATTGACGGGTGGTGGAGTAGTTGGTTGAGTAAGTAAGTGATTGAAGTATGATTGTTTGATTAATACGAGATGTATTCACCCTATTTCGTCTAATCTGATGAAGGACTGGTAGAATAATTGAAATGCAATGGAAACGTCAGCTCAACTCATATCATTGTGGGAAAATTGTACTACCAGTCCTTCATCAGCTTAGACGAAATAGGGTGAATACATCTCATATTACTGAGTTACTGGTAGTCTCGAAACTCTACTCCAATACGAAAATGATTGTTTGATTGTTGGGGCGACAGTTGGTAGGATACTCGGGAAAATGGTTGGGGAGATAGATGAGCAGATAGTTGAAAAGATAGTCGGATGGATAGTGACGCGGATGGTCGGAGAGAGAGAATGGCTGGACAAAAACATGGGAAATACAAGGAGTAGGCGGGTTTCGATGCATTTCTTTAAGACACCATATTTGCGGAGACTTTCATTTCATATGCAAGCGCGTGAAGAAGAGATTCGAATGTCGATCTCTCCAAAAGACGACGGCCGATTCCGGATGATCGACATCATCAAGGCTAGAATTCATCCCTGCAGAAGCATTGAAATAGGCCAACTAGTCTTCTTGGATTGGGGCTAAATTGGAGCGCTTACAAGAATGAGTTCCAGCTCTCATGATCTCCGCGAAATGACATGACGGACGCAAACTCCTCCTGATCTCACTCGAAACTGGGGCGTATGTCTCGTGGACTGCGGCAACCTGAATGTCGTATTAAAGACAAACGACCGCAGAGCAACGGTGATCGACCGCAGTCTTCTGGTGGGATTAAACAACAAATCTCCCGCCATGCACTTTAGTACGAAACGAAAGTCTCCCCAACAATGCTATCTTGACAGATCCATCGAAACCCAACTACACTTGGTATCTATAAGAAAGTATATTTAGGCCTATTTAAGCCGGACTATTGAATGCATGATCAGTAAAGTTGTTGTGGAGACTGTCGTTTCCTGCCAAAGTGCTAAATGAAGAGATTTGTAAGTCGATTCCACATGAAATGCTGGTTGGCGCCGTCCACGAGACATCCTTCCTTGCCGAGCTTTTGTGACATGACTTTCCATGTGGGAGGACAAGTTGGCTGGATGCAATTCGTAATGTGGTCGCACCGGAAACCGAGGCAGGAGTGTCGTATTGTGCACACAATACAGCAGCGCAGTACGACAATCTTCCCTACGCGGCACTTCTGTCTCGGTTTCCGGTGCGACCAGACTACGAATTCCTACCAGCCAACTTGTCCTCCGAGGTGGAAAGTCATGTCACAATATATCACTAAGGCAACCCTCGAAACCCTGTTTTCACTCAAATGCTTAGTTTCTGACAGTCAGTCCACCTGACATGACTCGTCAGAGCTGGGACTTATTCTCGCAAGGGCTTTGAATTATGCCCAAATCAAGAAGACTATTCGCTATAGCTCACATGATATATGCACTCATAACTAAAGATCAAAATATAGAGATACAGATGGACGGATATAGAATGACTTTGCTATTTCTCTTACGTACTAATCAAGGCATTTGAACATGAGTTTGTGTACACGTTAGCATTTGTATGTCAGACGCAAAGTCTAACGTCGTGGCCGAATCATCAGGGTTTAATGACCCACGGAAAAGCATGCCCGAGATTGCGTATGCAGATGTTTGGGCATGTGTGAATCGGTGGATTCAAGGAATGATTAGTGAAGGTCTGCATGGATATCCGGAGCGTCAATGCAGAAGGCCAGTTTACTCGTTTAGTCCGGCAAGTGACCGGGTCATGTGGCGACCTTTTGTAGTGCGACGATATGGCCGAGCATGTGTCTTGAAAAGGGTGACATGTTCGGCCAAGACGATAAAGGTCTGTTCAGGCCTGCTAATCGGCCAGCCGCCTAGCGACGGACCAACCCACCAACCACCCGTCCCGGTGGGCAGGTTGGTGAAGAGGCTGTGCCGAAACTGGGGCGTCATTTGGGCGGCAATAGAGGAGATATGAGTCATGTTGTCAGGGCGGTAATGAGGGCGAATGCAGTACAACTAGTTCCATTGCATCTGCGTGCAAATTGAGCGGGAATGATGAAGATGAGTGGTCCATTGACACGAGAATATATTAAATATAGAGGTTAAAGTGGGTGTAGCGGAACGCTCACATAAGCACACAAACACGCGGGATATAAGCACACTAGAGCATACATCAACGTGAAGACATGCACACACTCACACATTATAATTAAGGCAGGTAAATAGTGCTTCTAGGCAATAGTATGAATGGAATGTAATAAATTATTGTGCGCTATGAAGTGGGCAAAGTGGGCCAGATCGAAGTGTGGGTTCATTTAGTACTGCAGACAAAAGTCTCTGAGTGAATGGTGCACACAGTCAAGCATGATGGCTGTGGATTATGAAAAAGAAGTGTGGAGATGTGTGGAAATGATGGGAATCACATAGGCCAAGA